TGTTTGTCCTAGAATTTCATATAAATGAAACCATCATATAACTGCTTTTGTGTAAGGTTTCCTTCACTCAGCACGTAGACTTACAGTCTCTTTCTGATTTACCTGCAAAGTGAGATGAAGTAATCCGATCCTTTTGATTACAAGTGGCTGATCTGATTTGGTGAATTTTGACTTTCAGGCCTGTTTCCTGCCATTCTCAATCTTGCCAGCAATGCTCACATCAGCACCAATGCAACCTGTGGGGAGAAGGGACCTGAGATGTTCTGCAAACTGGTGGAGCACGTGCCTGGTCGACCTGTGCGGAACGCGCAATGCCGGATTTGTGATGGCAGCAGCGCCAACCCCAAAGGCAAGTGTTGCTCCTTCTATCCACAGGTACCTATGAAAATCATTACCTTTTGAAATGATGATGAAGACTTCTGTTAGGAAGCCATGATACCGTGTTCACCTTCACCACTATTCATGTTTACTAGCATATAGTTTAGAAATTAAAACAATTTAAATAAAAAAACTGAGAGGTACGCATGTTTTTATTTTCTTTTAACAGAACGCCATCCAATATCAAATGCGATAGATGGCACCAATAACTGGTGGCAAAGTCCCAGTATTCAGAACGGGAGAGAATATCACTGGGTCACAATCACTATGGACTTAAGACAGGTAAGTAAGGCTGGAACCGTTAAAAAATGCCTGTGACTCGCTGAGCCGCAGTCATCTGATAATCTTTGGTAAAGTATGCCTGGTTTCTTAACATGTTTACATTCTGTTCTCATTGTTTTTCTACCAGGTGAAGTTAAGTGGTATACAGAAGTAGTACATAGTACCATTTCTTGTCACGTTTATCATTCCCAGGTAACTTTGAAAAGATGAGTGAATTTGTTTCCATGGAGTTTGAAGTATTCAGAAGCTGTGTCAGCAGGGCATGCTCATTCGTTCAGAATACTGCATTAAAGGCTGTGTGGTAGATGTCAACAGTCACACTGGGGGTGGTGTAAGGGGATAAAACCCATGTATTTCCTGCCTTTCAAGTTTATTATCTTGCTGTTATCACTGTGCAGTTATTGTAGAAAATAAGGCTTAGAAACAAAAGGGGATAGTGTTAAACCTGTTGACCATGTCCCACTCTTGTCATGCTTTCTGTGAGGGCCTTGAGTAAGCTGGAGTTGTCCAGTACTTCTGTGAGCAAGTCTTCAGCATAAGCTGGGAAAGGCAGGTATAATTG